TGGAGCTTTTTTTTAGATTTTCCCCAAAAAAAAAGTGGTCTGAGAGAAGAGTATTAGAGGTTTTGTTTTTTTGCATTTTGTTGTAGCTTTGGAGGCGGCTGGGAGAGAGGAGTTGACTTCGAATACCGCTAGTAATTTGCAAAGTATATTAGTTTCTTCTTCCTCGACCTTCCTCTTTTACCCCGCCATTCCATACTAGTAATATCTTGGAGACATGGGAAGTATGAGGGATGTATATAAGAGTTCCTCATACTCTTTCGGAAAGAACCAGAACCAACTAAAACGCAATAGAGACAGGGATGGCTTTCTCAAAGACCTTGCCAACCAACCACTATTTTATGATACCGATGTTACTCGAATTCCTAAACATCCAAGTTTCGACGATGACAATTATAATAAAACAGTAAAATAAGATTCGACTGTGAAATATAGATCAAGGAAGAGGATTGAAGACGGGGGCTTCCAGTGCTGTATTATCATGTTTTTGGTTTCGATTTCTCGGTTGATAAAGGGGATATTCAACGATGACAAGAGATCCAGAATTAGATGAGATAAATTGCATACACAGAACACCTTGGGATAAGAAACACCAAAGAATAGTACAGAGCGCAAAGCCCCAGATCCAGAACCACGCACCCCCCATACATCGATAGCTCGTCGACCTTAAGACGGCAAAAAAAGTCTTTTTTTCTTCATCATCTATAATTAGCAATTCCGAAAATTTCCGAGTTCTTGGATGTTCAACCATATTATCATACAACATGTTCTTCATTTCATCATATGTACCCACAGCTCCAATGCCAGGAGTTGTAGCTATACAATGAATATATATATACACCAAGGCCAAAGCGGGGATAAACTTCACAAGCAGCTATAGAAGCTGATGGAAACTTGACGTTAATTAACGTTTATCTAATCATGCACCCCTCTCAATATACATACCGCTTTGCAGTGTAGGCAGTAGTGCGAACTGGTTTTTAAACTGGCAGTTTGAAGGGTCGTAGTTTAACTGGCAGTTGAAGTTACACAAACTAAACCAACTACTACTCGAGTAGTTGGAACCGCCAAACTAAACTAGCAATCTAACTAGTTGACTGATTAAACTGATAGTTCAGTTTGTATATTCCAGCTGCCAGTTCAACTACTGTCTACACTGCTGCTTTGCTATAGCTACTTGTACGAGGATATAGAGGTATGGCAAACTCGAGTACGAGTAAAAGCTTCCCTTCCCACTACACGCGTCTAGTTGAGAATCGTGAATCACGTACACCGGCCACGCAATTTTCTATTGGATGGTACTTACGAACTTACGAGCCTGTGAATGGTGTATGTATTGATACTGTAGGCATTGGTCTGTCATTTGACATGCTTTGAGCTTGATTCTTTGCAGAAAACTTAGGGTGAAGAAAGAGCTATACAGTAAATTAGAGCAGTGATTAGTCCAGAGATTGAGGATGAGGACGAAGATGACGAGTATAAGGATAACGAATATGTAAATTATGAGGATCCATCGAGGATAAATCAAAGAAATTTTGTTTTGTGGATTTAGTAGAAAGGCTAACTGGTAGTATCATTATTTACTTGATTTTATTTCTCCTTCCTTACTCGAGTCGAGTAAATAGTATTATATTAGCAACAAAATCAGATACAGTTTGTACAAGAAGGACATTTTTACATTCTACACTTACATATATTTATAGATTGACACAACGGTTTCTTTCGCAGTTATGTCACCGGGACGGCGGTTCGAAAGGGGGTGGCGTGTTGGGTCATTCACGATAATTCTGTATTCATATGAAAACTTGTTAATATGATATTCGAACCACAATCGATAATTAGAAGTGAGAAAATTGTAAATGGCAATAGTAAGGATCAGGGCTAGCTAGATATGATTTGAAGATAGTGACAGCGACAGTGATATGACACAGAGATGAGATAGATGATCATGCTTTGAAACGAACATTCTTCCAAATATCTAGATAAGTTTCTACTTACTATAACTAAGACCAACAAATTCAAGTCAAATATCCACACATTCTGAGGCTAGGCCGGATTACTAGTATGTGATGTGATATGATGTGATTTTCCGGTTGAAAGAAACACAAGAAAGACAAGAAAGACTGGAGGAATCATGAATTGAGATTAAAATACTGTAAAAGTTTAACCAACGCAGAATATGTCATACGGTAAATGGTATACCAGTACCCCATGAGCAATATCAGAAATTGTGATCAGGAATTAGGATGGCTAATATAAGATTTACCTAATCATACCATACTGTACATTGTAAAAGAGAGCCTTAGAGAGGTGAGGAAACCCCGCTTCGCCTATAGCTATAGCTATAGTTATCGATATCAATGTCAATGTCAATATCAATCCAATATCAATCTACTCAATCCATATTACTTCAATCAAGAGCAAGAGTAAGCATCAATTACCCGTTCTATCTCTACATTTGGAATCCCTTTCGAATCTAAATCCTATCCTCGCATGATACACCCACCACACGCTCTACATCTCCCTCGTCCCATCTCCCATCTCCCATCTCCCCTATCTCCTCGTCCCATCTCTCGACTCAGAGTCCCATGCTCTATACCAGTAATTATGCAATAACACCTTCCAAGTTTCTTCCTTCCAAGTTCCCACAGACCCCATCCATCTATCCCATTCCACTTCATGCCACCACATCCCATCACATCCCATCCCATAATCAAATCAAACCAAATCAAATCAACATAAAAGCCCCCCCAGGCCCTCCATCTCCATCTCCATCTCCATCTAAATCCTTTCAAAGTTTCCCCATTCTCGAATGTCGAATGTACGAAGAAGAAAAACAATACTATTACTATTACCATTCATTACATAGACTTGTGTTCCAAACTTATATCCCAAACTTATATCCCAAGCGTACATAGCGTATTGTATCCCAAATATCAGCTCGTTGAGTCTTTGAGTCATTAATCCGAGATCGTATATCATAGTAGAATCATTGATGCAGGTATATAGTATAATAAAAAGGAAAAGGAAAACGGCAGTAAATTGTTATTATATCATATCAAGACAGGATGATACAGGATGCGATGATATAAATAAGATAAACTCGTAATACTCGAGTACCCATATTCCCACTAGGAAACTTCCTAATCATTACTCGAGTAATGGAAAAGAGTATGTTACTCGAGTATATGTATTCGATCCATCGCAGAAAATATATTCTTGCAAAGCCCTTCAAATCTCTTTAAGTCCCTTAAGGATATTCAATTTCCTATATACCTTCAAATCCTCCAACCATACCCTCTGCATACACAAAAAGGCGGCTCTATCATACACCCTTCACCCTTCACCCTCCACCAATATCCCCCTCGCATCTCCATCTCCATCTCCATCTTCATCCCCCCTCCATCCCCCCCTCATATCTCCGGAATAGATATGGCAATATCTTCTCATCTTCTTACCTTCTTACCTTCTCATCTTCTCATCTCAATCTCAACCTCAACATCGACATCGAAACCACAATCCAAACTAGAATCATAAAGAGTACTTACTCTGTTGTATTGTATTGTATTATATCACGAAGCATAGATCCTTTCATCACATCCATCCCAATTACATCACATCATCACACCCCAATCCACATCACATCCATCACATCCCAATTCACACCAATTCACATCCACCCCAATCCACATCATCAAACCAAACCAATTTAAATAAAAAAATCATTTTCATTTTCATTTTCATCCATCTATCAATCCATCTATCCATCCATCCATCCATCATCCATCTATCATCACACTCATATCACCTGAGAACCAGGCCCGCTGGCCACAATAAACGAGGAGAAGAGAGGTAAGTCTATCTCAATATACACTTAAAAGGAAAAACGCTGAGGGAAGTTGATTCAACCAAACCGACTAACCGACTGACTGAGTGACTGGCCGACCAAAGTGTGAAAAATGCCCACATGAGGTATGTATGTAGGTCAGTCTTGAGTTTTGGAAAGTCGAAAGTCCAAAAAAAAAAACAAAAAAAAAGTGTATCCGCGAGCCATAAAGTCTTCCAAATCTACATCAAACCTATCTGGTTTGTGATCCAACCACATTATTCAACACACATTTCGAACCACATCTCTCCCCATGAATTATTATCCTCATAGTACCCCATATCCATCCCCATTCGCGAATCTCCATATCCATATCCAGCCATAATAGGTAGATAGATCAAAGCGCATTGCGCAATTATTCAATGATTGGATCTTCACTTGGCGCCCCCGCACCCACACCATCCTCTTTTTTCTGACCCGCGCCATTCGCACCTCCAAAGGCCCAACCCATCCAACTTGCTCTCTTAGCCTTTGTCTTATCCTCTTCTTCTTTATCTTGAACCAATTGTAATTGTTTTGGTTTATTACCCGCGAATTTTCTCGTTTCTTTTCGTGCAGGACTGGTGCTACTAGGCGGTGTGCTGACCTCACCGCTATCTCCGCTTATACTACTACTTTCGCTCTTCACACCCGGGAAATTACCAGCTGTGGGGACTTGACCTAGGGATGGATGGCGAGTGGTGGGTTTACCGGCCATGGGGCCTGCACTGAAAAAGGATTGCGAGTGTCGGGGTGTCTGGGGTCCATGGAGGGGTGGTGAAGTTTGTCCACCTCGATACATTTGGTTCACGATTGAAGCTCCACCGCCTGTGTATTGTTCGGATTTAGGACGGACTCCCTGTCGAACACTTGATGAACGGCCAACTCCGAATGGAATGCTAGGTGCTGTTTCGGGATCATTATTGAGGGTCGAATGGCTTATGGGCATAACGGATTGAGGACGTGGTTTGCGACTACCCATAGCTACAGTCTTCGCACGCTGAAGAATGGATGTACCACTAGCTTGCTCTTTTGGTGGAGGTGGTGGAAGATCTTTATCCTTATTGGCAGGTCCTTTGATATCTCCAGGTTTGAAGTCCGAGTCGAGAATTGCTTCGAAATCCTGGTGCTGTAGGAGTCGCTCGATAATTTTGTTGATATATAATGTTAAAGCTTTGTTTTGGTCCTTGGCAGTTTTCAACTCGCCTTCAAGGCGACGGTATTGATCATTTTCGCCTTCAGTGTCGTTAAGTTCAGAGAGTTCATCTGCGAGAGACGCTCCTGGGGATCGTCCTCGTCCTTCAAGAGCATTCAGCGCATCGGCGTTTGAAGAGGAACCCATGTATTCGAAGTGATCCTTGGAGAAATCGCCATTTAGAGTCTTTTCTTGTAAAAGTAATTGGAAGCTCTCATTGTCTTCCATCAATCTTGCATTCGTCATTCGTGCTTCCAAGAGTAATTTTTCAACTTCTTGCATTCGTCCACCTCCCATATTCTCAGATTCTACCATTTTGATCTGAGCTTCTGCCAATTCTAGTCGTAAAGATTCAATAAGTCTATCTTTCTGTAGGAGTAATTTGGAATTGTTGCGAGAATCGCTGCGATTTAATCCGGATGGAGGAGCGAATTGGCCACTTTCGACGTTCGGGGAAGAATTATTTGCTTTCAAATTGTTAGCACAATAGATTGTGTATCATGTAATGCGACAACTTACAGCGTCTAGACAATCTTGATTCTTCATCCGACGAAGATCTTTGCGACAGAGAATCCTTTAATCGCTGAATGATTGTCTGCATCTCTTCCTCTCGATTGCCCATTTCTTCCCTCTCCTTGGTCATGGAACTTCTCTCGGCCTCGTAAATCGATTCCATCTCCCTCTTTTGTCGAAGAGCATCTCTCTTTTCATTGAGTAAAGTCTCTAGTTTCTCTTCGTTCTCATGTAAACGATCCTCCAGTTTCCCTTGATCCTGTAAAGCTTCATCAAATCTTGATTGAAGAACTTGAGCTTGTTTCTGGAATTGCTCCGATGTAGTTTCGGTTTTTCGAAGTCTCTCTTTCAAATCATCCAAGAGAGCAATATTTTCGGCCCTTGCATCATCATCTGCAACATATGGTACACTATTTGAACTGAGATTAGAAGTACCAGCGCCTGGTCGTTGCATGGCAGCTCGTGCAGATAATGGAGTACCACTGCGTATTGAGCGACTTCGTGCGTGTGTTCCGTTTGTAGTAGGGGAAGATGGCTTTGTTGGTGACGAAGTTCTTGTTGGGATACCGGTACTTGAGGTATCTGATGAAGTTCTGCGCCCAGTTCCTAAAGCCACGGGTGGTTTCTTTGTAGCTGCCGACATTGCGACTGCTTGTATCTTGTATCCTGTAAATTGAATGAGGGTATAATTAAGATAATGAAACTGTGATTTCGTAACGAGTAATTGATGTGAAACGTATACTTTTAAAAAGTAGTAGAGAAAGTGGTGATTACTGCGATTGTAGCAATATCACAATATCACAATGGCAAATAATCTTATGGATCTGGTTTGATTATTGATTATTGTTGCATGAATGTAATAATTTATTATTACTTTGAGTTGCTGTTACCGATTGAGCTATTCCTGGACTTCGTTATATGCTAAGCGTACCGGTGGTAGTAGTAGTAGTAGTAGTAGTAGGCTGTGATTCTTGGTTGTTGGGGAGCAGTGGAGTGGGTGGGCCAGTGGCTAATAACTTGTAAGGGACCAAGCAAGTAGACAAGACTAGTAAGATAATAGTTACAACGCCGCTCCCGTTTATATGTAAATATGTAAATTTGGAAGCTTTATTATATCGTTATAATGAATTGAGTCAGATTTTGAATGAGGTACAGTAAGATACAGTGACAGTGCGATTAGATGTCGTTATGATGTATGAGTATCTTGTTCATCATATCCCGTATATAGTTTACCGCCCCAACATGAATGAACGGTTGGTGCGGTTGAAAACAAAATGCTGGGTATCGTTGGACCAAAGTGCAAGAATGGGCTGCATATCACAACTAAAGTAACTAACTGGAGGTGAAGTGAAGGGAGGGTGAGATGACTGGTGAAGGATGAACCCAAGGATTTCGATATGAAAGGAGGAGTTATTCTTTTTACACGTGTCCAAGACTCCAAACCCCTTAATGTTTATTATCACAGTTTCTATTTCTCCTATATTATATAGAAATGAATAATTAATCTATAGATATTCATTATGTACTGTACCTTGATATGGTCTGGATGTTTGAATCACTGGCTGTTCTCCATACTAAATTGGCTCTTTGGGCCATGCGTTTTGATGAATGCATGATTATTCCAATCTCCGTTGCTTCACCGTTTTCATAAGGATATTTGGTTGGTTACTAGGGATATTCTAAGGGAAGAACGAAGGACTTCTTAGAAATTCGTTTTCAGTCTCATGAGGAGAATGAAATGATCGAAATCTTTTGCCAGTAGATTTCTCATCCATATCATGAGTGATATTGATGGTGATGCAGCACTTTGGTCAAGGTTGACCCTCGGCGCCTTGGGACTGGGACCTGGGTACCTAGTAGATATTGTGAAATGATATGAATTCGAATATGGGGATTCCGGGAATCTGAGATTATCATTTATTGGTCTTCAAGTATAGGTATCTATCTCAGCGTGATACTTACAAAACGTTGCAGGACCCTCTTACACTTTAATGTCTCCGTAACAAGGAAAAGTACAGACAATCTGAACTTCCTTCCTGTACCTACCTAGTCATCTAAAGTGCATTCGGATGATATCACGTGATAACGAGCAACGTGATTTTTGTCGTACCTGAGGGTCTAGCCAATTCAGGTCTTAGCGTAGTTCACCCTAGCGTCGCACACTTTGAAAATATCGAGAACTTTTCGAACTTCAAAATTTACTCTCCATCCCCAACGACAACACCAATTTTCACAGTCCAACACAGCCGGAGCATTACCAATTCAAAACCGCAGAGATGGCCCCAACAAATAAGAAAGCTAAGAAGACCGCCGACTCCATCAACAGTCGTTTGGCACTCGTCATGAAGTCCGGAAAGGGTACGCAAATGATTTAATCCTGCTCGAAATACGATTCACAAAATACTAATTCTTTAACTTACAGTCACTCTCGGATACAAGTCTACTCTCAAGCAACTCCGATCTGGCAAGGCCAAGCTCGTCATCATTGCTGGAAACACCCCTCCTCTCCGCAAATCTGAGCTCGAGTACTACTCTATGTTGTCCAAGACTCAAGTTCATCACTTCTCCGGTAACAACGTACGTACATATATATATTTCATTTGTTGAACATCCGTCCATCGATCAGAACCTATTTAGGTCTGGGAGGACATTACCCAGCGATAAAGTCTTTCTAGACTTTGGAGGGTATTCATTTGCTTACTATTTTGTTTCTTATAGATTGAGCTCGGTACTGCTTGCGGTAAGCTCTTCAGATGTTCCACCATGGCTGTTTTGGATGCTGGTGATTCCGATATCCTTTCGAGCCAAGCTGCATAGATTGGGAATATCTATCACTAGTGTTGGTTGTCGAGGTGGAGAAATTCTAGATGAAGGACCAAGATCAGTCATGATTGACTGACTTTTGAGGTGTATCATTGTGCATGTTCTGCATAGCTTTATAGCATCACGAAATGTTATATCTTGATTCTAGAATCTTGTTTCTTCTTCTACTTGCTGAGTGATGTATTTCTATTGTTCCGTTTTGATATACTTGTAATTCGATTCGACTTCAAAGTGACTCATATCGACTCACATTGAAACTTGAAGGATTTCATTCCGAAGGCCGGACTTTCTTGAGAACCGGACACCGTTGCTGGAGAACTTGATGCTGACAATTTGATGGCGACATTGATTATATATAAACCCCAAGTGACTCCGTTATGAGACATTGATACCTTTCTCTTCCCTTTAATTTCTACTTGATTTGAAATACAATTTGCCACTATTCGCACTCTCCGGAACTCCAGAGATCCTATTTGGGTAATTTTGCCTCGAAGCCCTAAAGGTAGTTCGCTTATAATCTCAATTAAGGCCTAGCGTCTTTTTTGATTTGTAACGCTGAGAGATTCAAAGCAAAGTGACGGTCGCCTTTTTCGACCATCCACCGACAACAACACCAACAAGTCCCTCTAGAAATTATTCAAGATGGCCCGCCGCCCAGCGAGATGTTACCGTTACTGCAAGAACAAGGTGTGTAAATCTCATTATACACCATCAGACGTTTTCCGAAGTGTGCGAAATGGATTTGAAGGATTCTCGACGACTCGATCGCTCATCACTATTTATCCACGGTTTCGCGAATTTATTGGAACGGCGCCAAATCTACGATCGCAGAATATGAAGGAGTTGAAAGATTAATACTGATCAAATTATCTCTATAGCCATATCCTAAGTCCCGCTTCAACCGTGGTGTTCCAGACCCAAAGATTCGTATCTTCGATCTTGGCCGCAAGAAGGCAAATGTTGACGAGTTCCCTCTCTGCATCCACTTGGTGTCCAACGAGTATGAACAATTGAGTTCCGAGGCTTTGGAAGCCGCCCGTATTTGCGCCAACAAGTGAGTTCAACCCGAATCAAAGACGTCGAAGAGAGAAATATGTTCGGAGTGGAGATGGAATAAAGAAAAATGATATGGGAAAGATCAAGTGGGATTATTGAGTCGGAAACTAATATCATTTTCAACAGGTACATGGTTAAGTCCGCAGGAAAGGAATCCTTCCATCTCCGTGTCCGCGCTCACCCATATCACGTCGTCCGTATCAACAAGATGTTGTCTTGTGCTGGTGCCGATAGATTGCAAACTGGTATGCGTGGTGCTTGGGGTAAGCCAAACGGAACTGTTGCCCGTGTCAACATTGGTCAAATCATCTTGTCCATTAGAACCCGTGATTCTTGTAAGTTTATATCAAAATCTTGGTACATTTACAATATCTAATAACAACGTCACAGTCCGTCCCAACGCTCTCGAGGCCCTCCGCAGATCCCAATACAAGTTCCCAGGTCGCCAAAAGATCATTGTTTCCAAGAACTGGGGTTTCACTCCTCTCCGTCGTGAGGAATATATGGAGAAGAAGCAAAGCGGAAAGGTCTTGGTCGATGGTGCATATGTTCAGTTCTTGTCCAACCACGGCAAGTTAGCAGACAATGTTCGTCGTTTCCCAGCCGCTTTCGAGTCAGAGGCGTAAATTGAGTTCTTGATATTAAGAAGGAAATTCGGGCTATGATGACATTTGCTTTTCGGATGTGGAATATGGAATTTTACACAGCTTCATAGATCACATCCAGAATAATAAATCGTTTCTTTAAAGTTAAAAGCAATGATCTAGAACTTTATGCATTTGCATGTGATTGTCTTCAATTGTGTTTTCCGTCGCAGAATTCCGCATAGTATGATCCATTCTCAACACAGACCTTCAGTTTTGCCGCCAATTATGATAATACCTGAAGTTATGTATGATGTATCGTTCGAGCAGCTTCAAGAAATTTCCCGTCTTTTTCAAGGCGACCACATTCCCACCCACCCCATCCATCCAATAGCCGCTTTCATATTCATGTTAAGAAACACAGATATCTACATACAATACCGTGCTCGAGTGAGTGAGTATCTATATCTATCTAGCCACCAAAGCTCATATAACAAAGTTATCGACACCTGAAGCGAAGAAAAGGTAATCAAGTCGAGTTTCAAGCCCAACTCACCCCAGAATTGCCTATTCCATCCCTTCCCAGATTATGGGTTTTCCGAACATGGCTTTCACTTCATTCACTTCATGTATTCACCATCACCATCACCATCACTGTTGTTATTGAAATGCCTTCGCATACGGATATGAATGAGGCTTGCTCTTGCTCGCTCTTGCGACACATTAGGGAACCTCCGAGTATAACAGCGCAGGAAATTTCAAAAAAAAAAAAAAAAAAAAACAAGGTCCTGATCTCTAGGGAGGCTTTGTTTGAGTGTTGGTTGTGTCACCGTGTGTGTTTCTAAGATGGAGTTTATTTCGTGTCGTGGTTGAGAACTCGGATACTATACTATACTATACTGCAGTCTCCCTCGACACTGAAGCTTGTACTGTGCTGTTATTTGGGTTGCGAGTTGCGAGGAGTGTGGGTGGTTGGTGTTGGTGTTGGTGGAGATGGTTGGAAGAGAATTTGGCGGCGAGGGGTTGGAGAGATGAGAGATGTTTTTGGAGTGGAGTGGAGGGATGTGGTGTCATTATATTTGTTATATTTATTATAGTGTGGGTTTTCAAAGTAGGGTCTTGCTTGCTTGTGATGTTTACGCTGCTACTCTGCCGATTCTAGTTCCTTGCTGATGGTGACTCTTCATTTGCCTCTTGGTATACCGATTTTTCGAAGTGTAGAGTGAGCTTCACTCGCTTCACTCTATTCGCTTCAATGCTTTTACTTTCCCAAAGCGAAGTGCGGTTTCGAATCGATATCGATATCAAGCTGGTAACGATTCACGTGGCAAATAGATCTCAACACTTTCATCTTACCACCAACATTCAATAGCATCTCCGTACCGTCTCCACGGGATCTGAAACGGGATTTGAATTGGTAGGGAATGATTAGAAATTGTACCTTTGGAATCTTACCATACCTAGCCTATCAATATCATCACCATATGATTTGTCCAGCCCGACTATATTTAATTACTGTCGGAGCCTATGAGAGAGAACAGTTCTTTCATAGGAGATAGGTTGCCTGGTAAGTATCCGATGCTAATTGGAGTTGCGTCAACCACCCCGCACTTCTCCCATTATCTATCCAGCCTTCGCATGCAGGTGTGACAGCAGCTACAACACTTGATGGGTTCGTTCCTCAGTTGAGTAATCACATTGCATAGCATGTGAAATCATAGGAGTTGTGCAATTTGTAATCGATTTAATGTTCATATGAAAGTTTGAGTTGATAAGTAGAGCTTTGGCGCGTTGAATTACACTTTTTCAAAACATGTTTCTTTCAACGCAAATCCTTTGGATACCAAATTAAAAATCCTTCGATCACTCGATCAAAATGACACAACCAAGCGCAGCATGTTGCCAAGGTACTCCAATATCATTGCATGGACCAGAATATAAACTCACGGGAGAATTCATCGAAATTGATGAGACGAAATATTGTATTTTCTCCTCTCCCTCACTCGAAAGTAACTAATTCAATACAGATGTGACCGGACCCACAAATGCCACATCCGCTATCCTCTTAGTTTACGACATCTTTGGTTTCTGGACACAAACCCTTCTTGGCGCTGATATTCTCTCCGCTACCAAAACTTCGTCTTCTCCTCAGGGTATAAGAGTGTTCGTGCCTGACTTTTTTGGTCCAGGCAATGAAGCGGATATCGCGTATTGGCCTGCGAATACGGAAGAGAAGTGGGATTATATCTTGAAGGTATTTGAGGAGCAAGCGGAGAAGGGAAAGAATATGAAGAAATTGGGGGAGTTTATGAATATTTTGAGAGAAAGAGATGAATCAAAGAATGTGAATCGTTGGGGGGTTGCTGGGTATTGTTGGGGCGCAAAGGTTCGTATTTTTTTTGCTCGAATTCGTTGTACCCAGCAGAGTGAAGGAATGATGTACAGGATCAAGGACTAACGAGGTATGAATAAATAGATAGTGACACTAGCTTCACAAGAAGGAACCATCTTCAAAGCAGGAGCACAAGCGCATCCATCATTGGTAGACCCAGAAGATGCCAAATTGGCAACTATTCCACAAATTGTCCTACTGAGCAAAGATGAGGATAAAAATGTTTGTGCCACCGGTCCCAGAACGAGGTCATATCATACATACTGATGATATATCTGTAGCAATGTAAAGCATATGAGAATAACCTGAAGGTCGGTAAGTACTTTGAGGCTTTTGATGGTCAGGTACATGGTTGGATGTCTTCAATGTGAGTCACTTAACTCGAAAATCTCTCAAAGAAACCCCACTAATCAGGATTCTCAAACCAGGGGAAATTTGAAAAATCCAAAGACTCGTGAAGAGTACTTTCGTGGATACAAGTTATGGAGTGATTTCTTGGCCAACTATCTATGAATGATCGGGTGATCTTGTCGAACAGATTGGAGCTCGAAGTTTTCGGCATCGAACAAACCTACCTGCATGTAGTTGGGATGTAATCAAAAATCAATGAGAAAACGACTTTTGAAACTGTATAAAGTGTCCTAGTGGAGGTCTTCAAAAACGCACTCACTTGTGACTTGAGGGCATCAATAGTATGACTGTGACCGCGAAAAGAAGGAGTAGAAGGAGTAGTGGTCAAGCCAAGCCACTTTTGGCTCAAAGTTATAAGGGAATACGCGTCGAGACCTGTAGTGTATGAAATTAGGGACGCCCGTTAATTTTGATACCACGAAGAAATATCGATGGCACAGTGAATCCGATGGTTTGATGGTTGTATGTGTAGAGGCCATGATAGATAATATGCGCATATAGGGTATACCATGCTTGTTCTGATGTTGGATTTGATGGATTTATGGCGCACCAAGAAGTTTGATATGCTTTCTACACGTGACCTCGCGTTTAGCTTGGCATCTAGTGTGGCGCGTCTCGTAAGCCGGTACTCATAGCTTGATCTAATAGATCATCTTCATTCCTACTCCCTTTCTCCTCCTCCTCCTACATCCTTAACCATTCCCAACATCGTCGTCCTGATCATCAGCATCGCAAAGCTAGCTCATCCAGAGATCACCGGCAATATGTTGGTACTGCCCGCCGGGAGGAAGTTTAGCAGGAGCAAATCAATGTACAATGGATATCTAACAAACGAATATTTCCTCAGTACTACTCGAGTAGTTTCGAACACTTGGTTCCAGTACTGGAACTTCTATGAATGAAAGCAGGCAAGGTTGCCGCTAGACAACTGGAGATCCAAACGCAATCAATATTGTTGTGGAAAGCTCAGTATTTGTTTCGAGGCCTTATTACAATTGGCACAATTGATGAACTCGTCAATGGACTACGGGCGGAAATTCACAAGCCGATGATACCGGAATTGGTCAAATTGGAACAAGAGATGCGCGCTGATTACGATCCACGATATTGTGTAGCTAGGAGACAAGCAGATACCGAGGCGGAGGAGAGACCGAACAACGAGCTGACCGATGCTGAAAAGGCTAAGGATAACCCAACAAAGTCTTGGAAGAGAAGTTCCTGTTGTTGAGAATACTAGGGAAGGAGACGCCATTCTAGTCATCATTCCTGATCGTCACGAACTCTAAATAGTCGCAGATACTCTTCGCCTCGAGTCAACTTACGCGGAAGGTCCCGAGTCGACGATCCACCAACTAGAACATTCGATAGACTTGTCGCCATAGGAAGAAGCGAATCTGCCTCCCAGGAAAAATCTAGGGTTATGGACGGCGCAGCCCCTCTCCCAAAGCATTATACTTGCCTGCTGCAGAAAAGCCATCTGTGAAGCAGCCAACTTGGAATTACCGATGGCGTGGTGAGGAACAAGAGGGTCCTATTAATCCTGTTGTCAAAACTATACAACTACAACACTGGGGCGCGGTTCACAAATACGACTTGGTGATAAACTAAAGTACAATGTTTATGATAAGTACTGGAGAAATGTGTTATCCAACTGGATCAAAGTGGGTTCATTCTTGTGAATTGGCCCAAGAGCTTTGATTCGAAAGTATACTTGTCAAGTACTTTTCATTCCTTAGTAAGTTGTTGATAGGTGGTCCTCTCAATTTCTCGTTCCGAACATACTTTTCTTCGTTTTGATATCTTCTCCAGACGCCATTTCAATCATTGTACTTAAGAGTAACCGCCTTGTATCTCTCTATCTTGCAACTTTACATGGTTTCAAATATCCCGGTCCAATGTCAACTTAAGGCTTTCTCAAGCCTCAAACCCGGATGGAACAAGAAGTGCATTTGAATATCTAGAATGAGTTAGAGTATCAAATGTAATCCGGGCATCAAGCTACGCTCCCGGTAAGCAATAGCCTTGCAATCATTGGCCGTTTAAATATTTAAGCACCAAGTGAGAAGTTCAGTTCGGACAATTCCCAAAACACTCCTTAGAGTTCCAAGCTTAACCATCGTTTGATATTCTATTGGTCCTGAAGTCACTCATCTGTATTTAGCCTTATAGAAAGCCATACGCAGCGGTCAACCAAAAGGTCATTGTGGCACAGAACACACAATATCTAATGCCAACCACTCATTCGTTGCAAAATCATTTTTATTGGCTAGATAGCTTCCATTTTCCGTGCCGGATATATGCATGGTGAGGCTTGTTGTCGTACAGGTTATACAAGGGCGGGGATTGATAACTTAAGTGTTGAACTTCATCTCATTTTATACCATGTTCCTTTACTTGACTTTATTTACAAGACCTTATATGCAAACTCAGTACCCAAATCTCGCTCGAACTAATTGAATTGAATGCCTCGCACTCGCAGTCGTCAAACTCGTCTTTCTCGACGCAGTCCACCTCGTGAAGCGAATACTGGAAATGGCGTTCGGTCTAAATTGAAGGAAAGTGATATATGCGTTGGATGTATCGTATGGCTTCCTCCCAAAATAGAGGGGGATGGATCTCTGGTGTGTGTTCGCGGTAAAAGTTGCTGCAATGGTAAGAAATTGGATGATGATGGATATAACCACCCTGTAGTGATTTTATATTACAAGGATACTACTTGTTATATTGCTATGGTATGGAAACCCCTTGATCTCGCTTAAATCTGTATATGTGTAGGTAAAAGCTACTGAAAAAGATGAAGCTGACATACACGACACTACCAGATCACATCCAAAACTCGACGAAATGTATATACCTCAAAACGCATCCAAATATCCCAAAATCCTCCCGATCCTGACGATCTCGATCTCGATCCTGAATGCAAGTTATATCTCGAGACGGGAGAAATGAATAAAACATCGTTTATTATCATCGAACATCTTTTCCCAATTCAATTTTCTATACTTCGCTCCATTAGCTTCAAACCTCAATCGAGAGCTTTTGACACGAGGTTACGTAAACAGAGTTATGTGGAGTTGGTGGCCATGTTTGATATGGATGAGGGTATGATGGAATGGGTGGATACGGGGATTGTAAAAGCGAAGGATGGGAATGGTGCTAGGAGAGGACAGAGGGAACAGAGAGTTACGTTTAGGGATCCATGGGAGGAGATCAGGGGAGATACAGCGACAGCGACTAGTAACCGGGAAATTGCAAGACAGTCGCTGGCTCGGGAAACTCGAAGACAATCGCGAGATCAGAGAATTTCCTCGGAACCTACTCCTACTACAACAATTCCTGCTCTCTCATCAATACCACGAACTCAAGCAACCCTCCCCGCAACACCCAGAGAAGAATGGTATTCCTACGATCGATCTCAGGCTATCCTTCGCAATCTCGCAAACGAAAGAGATGCACTTCTTCAACATCAGCCTCCACCGTACTCGCTTTCTCCCATCACCCAAATCCAAAGTACCTGGCATCAACAAACACAACTCCCATCTCGTCCCTCTCGCTTAAATTATCATGCAGCGCTCCCTTCGGTAGAACGCTACGATCGCTCGCATTGGGATGCAAGGATTAGGAATATGAATATGAGGGTGCATGATTTGGAACATGGAGGTAGGGGTGGGGAGGAGGGGAGGGGAGATGGTGGGGGAGTGGGGTGTGATGGGGGTTTGTTTGTTAAGTTGGTGGGGGTATTTTTGGGGGTTGGAGGGTTGGTTTGGTGGATTTGTGGGAGGTAGGGGGATTGGAGATGAGTATGGAGGTGGAGGAGGGGAGAGGGGTTGGGAAGGAGGGAATGGAAGCCTGGGAAGGTATTATTTGAGATAATAAGGTGAGGTCTGTGAAGGGGTTTTCGGGTATGTATATGCATGGTTTGACTGCGGTATCTTGGGGTATATGTAAGGCGTTGAGGTTGAGCGAGCTAATCAAAACACAACGGTTTTTAGTGGGAAGTTGAAGGGAGTCATGAATGGAAATTGAGTATATTGTGGTATGGATAATCATGGTATTGCACAGTAATGCATAGCGCGGAGTGGAACAATCGTAATGATGATCTGGCTCTTGTTCTTTGCATACAATTCTTCTGAATTTTCCCTGCCTTAGGCTATCCTATCTTACCAAGGATACTCACTCACTACTGCTTCTCGAACTCATACTCGTGCATGTACAAAATATCTTATTCGATACCACACTTCTGCCGATTTCCCATATTAATAAATAACTGTCGAATCACGATGCATATGCAAATGATGATGATGATGATGATGAAAGTATTGTAGGATGAATAAGAAAGAGCAGCGAGCTAGCTAGAAGAGTGAGAGCTTCTTCTATAAGATACGGCATGGAGGTTGAGTCTTTATTTCAGAGCCGCGCAGCGTTTCAAACATCCCATCCTATTCTATCCTTCAACTAATGATAGGTAGATTAGGGTATCATTTTTTCAATAGGATATAGTAATTTCGTTATAGGCCTAGGATAGGATAGTAAAGGATGAAGATAGGATATTCAGAACGCTGAAGCCGTATATGCTGCTGCAGATACACAACCATGCATGAAACCTAGGGCCACCATCCTCATTATAAATTGATAACCTCTACTAGTCATAACTTAATGAACCGCAACACAAACTCAGGTAACACTTATTTCACTGCTCTCCGAGACATTAACATGCTCGGCTTCTACATCTTTCGAATCATTTGATAATCAGGAAGGCGATGTAAGCTTACCTGGCAAGGTTAGATTAGATTTACAGACAAGAAGGACCTTATCTTCCCAATTCGCCCGGTAAATCCTAATCACCATCTTCGGCCTCAATGTGCATAATGCCTCCTTCCATTTCCATCTATCTTCCAATTCTTCAACGGAAAATACGGCACATTCTTCGCCGGCACTGCCGTCGCCGTCAAGGCATGCCACATCTCCAGGATTCCTGCTCTACGAGCGGGTAACATGCTGTATTGAAGACTATAGAGGTTCTTGCGATGAATAGGAGGTACGAATTTGCCAGTGAGGAAACAGAGAAGAACGCGCGGAGAGAGGTAGTGCTTGCGGATGCGGTGGCCAAGTTGAAAGTATTGGTGGAATATTGTGCGAAATGGTAAGGGAACGGACTATTGGCGTGTTAATTATATGAAAAAGGGAAAGAAAAGATTTAAAATAATGTACCTTGAGGTAAATGTAGGATGTCGGTGGTGGATTGTGGGAATGGGTCGAGGAACTAGGTAGCTGTTGGATATCTCGAAGTTCAAAACGAATGCCGCCTATGTCTGATTAACATGACAAATCTACCAGAAGAGACAGGGAAGGAATTCATGGGAGCTACGAACCCGGAAGTCTTTGTGAGTCTTTAAACCGCAACATCAATGCAAAAAGTGGAAAATGGTTCAAGCATGCAAGTAGAGTGTCTAGAACAACTTTTAATGAAATAATCGCTGTACGAAAACATGCAAATGTGAGATAAAAAACGATTACGGTGGGTAGTAAGAAAAAAAGTAGTGTAAACAAGATGGTACCTAGAAGAAGCTGATCTAGATCGTAGTTGTACGAGTCGATACGTTTTCGGAGCACATTATGCTTTTTCCCGCGAAAAAGCTGGAAAAGGGAAAGGAGTATGGTATATTGCCAATTAAATATTCGGGCGGAGGCTATATAGAAAGAGTAGATATGGAGGGTTAATATAGAGAGAAGATCTGAGAAGAGAGCGATGGGCATGCTTGCACCTGCGAAACTTGAGAAGCCAACAAACCATATCAGGTGAGGCAGGACTGGTCGGAGAGCTACGATGAAATCTATGCTAATAAGCCATGATCTCTTACTGAGTAAATGAAATATTAAACTCACTTGACCAATGGTCTATAACCCATAAGAAGAGGCCTCCGAGGAAGGCAGCCAGTTCATTATTCAACTTCAACCCGGCAAGCCAATCTTTGAGCCACACAATTATGTTACTTAGTGCGGTAATTGTATATAAGTCTAGAGTTTGGTTGATGCATTCAGCTACCCATGCGGAATTGTCGATGATGTACGACCCAAGGGCGAAGCCGATAATAACCTAGAAACTTGGGGTATCAGCATTTGCCTATATTAAAATATCTCGAGAGAAAAATGGAAGCCTCCTTTAGGACCTTTTGGGTCTTCATAGGATTAGACAAGATGAAATCAAGAAAAAAAAAGCCTCACATCGTTCAAAACAAGCCAGAGACTGTTGTAGAATCTGATATAGTCAAGATGACTATCTGTAACACTCTGCCAATCACATTTCTTTTTCCGCAACGTGACATACTGATAACCCGTTAGAAACAATCAGTTACAAAAACATGCAAAATAAAGATGCCAAGCCAGGATAATAATGTTGCGCCTTCATCGATTTCACAGACTTCGGTTCCAGTCATTTTGCGAAAGTAGCTCATTTTCTTGTTGTGGTTTCCCAATCTGTATATCGTCCTGCAGGCAAGATCACAGAGCTTGTAATAGTGATTCTTAGTCTTCAAAGCTCTGGTGTGAGCAGGTTTAATGTTGACCGTGTGATCGATACTCCCCAGTCTTCCCTTCCTGTGAACTTTGAAGTTGTGATCCGTTCTGCAGGCAAGATCATAAGTCTTGCAAAAGTACTTTTTATTAGCCCAAGCCGTAGCCCAGGTCTTCACAGTCATTGTTATAGCATTCCCTCGGCCCTCGCTGCGGAGTGATACCATTACTACGGCTTTTCCAGTGCGGTAAGCATCAGCATTTGAAGCAAGCCGGTTTTGGCACCAAGTACTTGCCCTAACGGCTGAAATTTTGACGTGTCTTTGCATGATATCGGTAGCTTCAGCAACGAGTTTTTCCAGAGTAAAATTAGAGTCTCCAGAGACGACTTCGGATAAAAAGCAGTGGGATCGAAGGGCTATTATCGGCAAAGTATCGATGGGCTAAGGACAGATTGAGACATGCCTTAGCCGTGTTTCATAGCTTTGATAGCTCAGAGAGTAAGACCGAAGGCTGCTTCCATAGCAACAAAGAACGGGTTGTAGGCTTCAAGGCAGATAACGGGATTGCTTTACAATATGAGAGGCCTTCATGTGTAAGAATATATCCGTCATTTAAACCCTTCTGGATGTAATGGGGTAAGACCTCAATTCCGTCGTATTGGGTAAAACCTCAAGCAACACCACTAACACAGGTCTTTCCCTGACCCAATGTAAAAATAAGGCCGTGGTCCTAATTGCTCAAGCAAGAGCACATGGCTTGCTGACGTTGGTTGGCAACCTCTAGCAGAAGGTCATGGGAGGTGTAGCAGCTCGCCGATTGGTGGGAAGACCGTCAGCAAAGATCAGAAACGTGGTGGAGATTACTTGCTGAAAGACATCGAAGATTGGGAAGATCAGAGCGTAGAGAGAATTCTCCTGATTGGCAGGTGTGGTGGTGTAACAGCAGTTTCAAGCCAGCAGCAAGACGAGCTGGAGACAGGTGCATCTAAATTCAGACCAGTCCATAGATAGGCGTATTGTGAGGGCAGGGGCATCCAGACCAGTCCAGAGGTAGATCAATTCTAAGGTGAGAAAGGAAACTGTAACTTACTTGCACGGGGATGTAGCAGAACTGCTGTAAACGGATTTCCACTTGTTGAGCTGTGGCTGATACGTCTTTCAGAGCAGCGTAGTCTGGCTTGGCTCTCCATTCTAGCATTAGCAGTAAAACCTCAGCGACTACCCTGTGGCAGACAAGGCCGATGATGAAAGTCCTCCGAACTATTGGGTATATATATATAGTTACCAATTGCCAGATAATTATGAGTATGAAGTCACGCATGCTCGTAGCAGACTCGACAACTCTTTCTGATACACTCAAAGTCCGCCGTGACCGTGTTCTAACAAAAGATATGTTCTTCTGCAGGAGTTCATGTACCTCGAATGCGCAGTTAATCTGGTTCACAATCCATGGCAGCGCCTTTTCCTTTTCCTTTTGCGAGGGTGGATGCTTGATGATTATATGAAACTTTAACTTCTCGATAAGATCTTTCGTTGTTTTCCGGTTCTTCATCTCCTCTATCTCTTCCTCTTCGTCGACGCTGCCTGGCGCATGGATTGTCTTCTCAATCTTATCTCCCAAAGCCAATGATATTAGGCCAAGGGAAATATATTGCATCCTACTCGGTAGAGGTCGCTTGAACATAATGATCTGTATTGTGGAAGCTTGTGGGCAAGATATTTGTGGAACCTTCAATCCAAGCTTTGTAGTCGCATGAATTTGCAGGTGATCAATTTCCAACGAAGGGGAGTTTGCCAATCCCAGAATATGCAAAGAAGATTGCCCACATAGGTCATATATCCTTTCAATGGGATAACTTGTGCTTCGAAATAAAGTTCCAGCCTTTAAAGCGTCCTCGACATTCCGTGCCTTCTCCTACATCAGCGAAATGATATAACCAAGTTGTCTCGAAGCTTACATCTATATCCTCCAAGATTGCTACTACAAAGACATCGAGCCCTGAATTCCTCCATCCAATTATGACCCCAGGCGAATTAGTTCTCGATATGTCCAGTGGCCAGAATATCCTCATAAGACCATCATGCTCGGGCATGACAGGTTATAAGCTCGTTCCGTCCCTAAAATGAGGCCCGTCTTCTCAGCCCTTCGCGTACAGGTATACCAGTGCTCCCTCCCCTTGGATGCTACAAATAGATTAGCGGCCGCGATACTAAATTCGTATGTCTTTCAACCAAGTTGCTCTCCCTGAAGGCGAGTCTCTCCACAGGTATGATGAAGATGAAGAAGAATATCGAGAGGACTGCAAAGCCTTTGGCGGTGCGCGTCTAGAATTCGTAGGTCAGCATTTGGTCTGGGCGATCGAGGAGTCCTAGATCATATTGCAACTTTGTGGTCCCAAGCGAAATTGCAGGTTTTATAGAGCCTCGTTACTAAATCCCACTTCGCAGTGATATAGCCGGCTACAAAGAACGCAAGAGTGAGGATAGAGAAAGGGTGCATGAAAGTCTTTCTACGCTGGCATATCACTGTGATAAGTAGACGGGACACGGAAGATAGCAGCTGTGCGGTCGGCTGTAGTAAACTTCGGGACAGATCCTTTCAATGCTTCGCAGGCTGGTGACCGTGAAGTGCTGGATAGTTTCAAAAAGATTCTCCTATAAGATTTGAAGTGAAATAAGATGATCCGCACATCTAGCTTTGTTATGCCTGATACGTATATACTATATTCTCTTCATAGGTTTCAGGGTCGGTGGGCGGAGCACACGCTTTATAGCTTCAGAGATACAAGATTAAGCTCTTATATCACGTGGCAGAAGCTATACCCAGTTTCATAACATCTGATTTCAATTCCTTAAAAAAATTATTTCCGTTTTAAAAGGATTATTTCAATAGTTAATAATTCTCATTCATCTAAATTTTATTTAATTAGAAATCTATTAATTCTTTATTTAAAATAATTTAAAAAATACGAAAAAATATATAATTATTAAGAATAAGAATAATACTCCTTCTAGTATATAATTATCTAGTATTATATTATAATATAGAAAACTAGAACTAAAGAAACATAATATTAATTTAATTAAAAAAATAAAAATTAATAAGTTATAGAATGATTTATATAAAGTTATTTAATTATTCTTAAATTAATAAAATAAATCTCTTGAAAAAGTCTATTTTTATTATTTCGATTAATCAAATTGTTTCTAATCTTATATATAGAAATATAAGAGATTATATTATATACTTTTAATAAAATTCAATATAAAAATCAATACTTCATTTTAATTATATATTAATTAAAAAAAGCATTTTATAAAGAATCTATTTATTAATAAAATAAAAATAAAATTTAATAAAGTTTAAAAATAATATATCTATAACGGCTCGGATATTATAGTCTCAGACCGCTATATATTCTCTAGTTATCTTCGCGATAGCAAGCTCAATATTATATTAAATATATATATTATATATTGAACAAATCTATAAAGGAAAAAGAATATTATTGCTAAATTATAGCTTTTATAACACCTGTTCATCTTCTCTCTAAAGCTAATCCTAATTTTACTTAATTATTATTTCTTATTTTATCTATTCTTTTTCAATCAAATAATAAAAAAGAATCTTTTCAGAGTTTCTTAAAAGATTTTATAGTTATAACATATACTCTAAAAACACAAGAATTCATTAATTATCTC